GTTGCTCACTTCCGACATTTCGGCCTTGATTGAGGTTCTCTTTCTGAACCACTTGCTGAATCAAAAAAATAATAACGGCTTATTTTTGGCGCTTATTCGTTACGGTTATTCGGAGGATTTTTGGAAAATTTACAGTCGGAAGTTCGTTAAATGAGAGCATCCATATCAGGAAAAATCACAATGACTTCATGAAACTCTCGAGAAAGCCGGGGACATGACACTCTCCTTTTTTCTGTTGGACCAACTGAGGACGACTTGTGGGGGTGATGTTCTCACGAGGAAATATCGTTCCTAGAAATACGACAATTGAACTCTTAGTACCAAGAGAACCCGTTGCTTGTAAACTGTGCACATTGCCAAACCTTCATTGTTGAAAGGCGTTGAACAATTTCAAAAAAAATTGGCGTCGATTCAAACATGGAAAAGCTGAAGGGTGAAACCTCTTAACGAGCGATATCGATTGATATCCTCATGAACACTTTCAAGATATCAATTTCAAATTAAGCAAGAACATTCCGACAATTTCCCAGAATGTTGCAACCCTGTCATCTGTCCGTTCTGATAAAGGATTCCCGAATTAGTATTTCAACGAAACATCATGCACCATCTCATCTCACAAATATAATACAAGACAAAAAACATTGATGTCAACAATCAGAGATGAAACCACCTTCTCAACAACAACTCTTGGGTATTTGTCTCCTTCTCCTCTTCGTCATGTTGTGGATTCTTTTAGAAGGAAACGAACTTGCATATCCTCATGTTCATGCATCGTCAGTGCAAGCCATTCCCTTCGTTTCGCTTATTCACGAAGAGAATCGTGATCATTCCTCTTTGATTGAAGAAGAGACTCTTTCCTTTCCACTCTCTCATGAAAATAATTTGATGAACCAGTTGAATCGATTGCAAACACTCATGAATCGAAGAGAAATGATTCATTCGTTTTCTGCTGTGAATCGTTTGAAACAAGTGGACTACAATGAACAAGTTCAAATTGTGAAACAATTGAATGAACCTCGAAGTCAGTTTATTGTCAAGTTGAAGGAATTTACAAATGAATTCAATGAGGATGAACCATTCATGGCAAAGTTGAATGCAACTGATAGAGACATGGAATGGCTACAATCCATGGTTATGAAATCTGGAAAACCTTTGAGATTTTCAAATGTCTTTGCAGTGGTGGCCAAAACGTCAGAAATCATTTCATCTTTCAAAGCTATTGAATGGATTGATGAATATGAACCAAGATTCAAAAGTGCTTTGAATTTTCAAAAAATTCAACAACTCGCTCAACGACAACTTGGCGAGACATTTCACACTTCCAGTAGTTCTGTTAATAAGAATGACAGCACGAACAAGAATCTGATACATGTCATTATTACCATTCTCCCATCTCTTGATGCCATTCTTGTCAATCAAGAACTCGAAGAAGCTCATCTCATTGCCAATGAATTGAATTCCAAACTCACAGAATGGTTTTCCCAACAACGACAACAGCAATGGAAAACAACACCCAAAAGAATCCTTCAATAATTTCTCGAATTCAAGTTTCTTCAAAGGATAAACTGGAAATGAGTTTCTCTCCACTGGTGGCTCAACATGTGGGTGAAATTTTGAAAGAACATGCACATGTTCATTTCATTGAAAGAAAACACGACTATCAATGGATGAATAAGAGATCGAGTGTCATGATGCAAGGATTTGGTCCTTCTCCAAGTATTGAAATGTCTGCCTCCATTCTATGACATGGGAATTTTAGGAAATGGACAAATTGTTGGACTTTCTGATTCAGGAATTGATTGGGACAATTGTTTATTTAGAGATGCAAACAATCCCATTGTGAAAACCAACAGTGTCAACATGAATCATCGTAAAATTGTTGGATACGATACAGTGTCTGCTTATTCTGAATCTGGTTTCATATCCTCGGATGGTCAAGACGAAGTGGATGGACATGGAACTCACGTAGCTGGTTCTATTTGTGGAAGTATTCAAAATTTGGCTTTCAATTCCAATGCCAATCCAATCAATGAATATCACGGAATAGCTCCAAATTCAAGACTTTATTTTGTGGATTTAAAAAAAAACTGGAAATCCATTTGTCATGATTCCTAATTCATATCGAAATGACATTTTCAAACCTGCCTACAA